ATGTTGCTCTGGCTGGAGTGCAGTGGTTATTCACAGGCACGATCCTAGCATACTACAGGCTGGAACTCTTGGGCTTAAATGGTCTTTCTGCCTCAGCCTCCTGAGCAGTTGGGACTATAGGTGCATGCCACCATACCTGGCCATAATATTCCTTTTCAGCTCATTTTTCGGTCATGGAAAATGCTCTTTCAAGAATCACCAGGCCTATGATAAGTCCCATGGAACAAACCTATCACTGCGTAAGAGCTGAGTGGGAAAAAAACATCTCTCCTCATACAACTTATTCATTCATTCATTCATTCATTCATTCAGTAAAACTTCATGACACACCACTATGGACATCAGAAAGTAGAGATAAATAAGGCTGGGTCTCTGCCCTGAGTGATGAGCCTAGAAAGCCATACTGGACACAGTTTCCATGCTAGCCTCCCTGTCTCCTTTCCTGACCCCACTGTATTGTCTTACACAACAGTCAGAATAATTCTTTCAAACACAAAGCAGATCCCCAGCTTAAACCCTTTAAAGACCTTCATGAGGCCCTATGTGACAGGAGAAGCAGGAAAAGGTGGATGAGATGAGGCTGTATTGAGTTCAGGGTACCTTGGAGACTTTCACAGGGTGCTTGACTCTGTCCTAACTCCTAAAATGACTACTGAGGACCCGGGGGTCTGAGTGGGGTAGGGGTTAGGGGTCAAGACAGATATACTAGATCCAATAGTAATATAGTTCAAAACCCTAGATTTGTTAAGTTGCAGTCTGGCTCATGGGAGTAATTCTTTATTTGGACACTTCAGTGACCAAGAGACAGAGCATTAAGCACACACATCCACACACACAACATGCAAAGCAAAGGCATTTCACAGGTGAAGGGATAGGGAGTGGGGGAAGGAGGCCACGAGAGCAGCTAGGGGCTTCTTTGACACAATGAAGAGAAGCCTCTGATGGTGACACTTGGAATTCTTCCTTCAAAGCTACAAGGAAAAATCTATCGCTGTGGAGTCAGTCCAAGGCCATAAAACACAGCAAAGATAGATAAATCTGGGTGTGGGGCCTGGAGAACATCTGTTCCTCACTGTAGAAACCTGCATCAGCTCTCCCTTTCTTTCTCTGGGACCCAGAAATCGCCTGGTGGATGATGGGGAAGGCTAGCACCACAGCAACCTGGGCAAGGTGGTCTGCTGCACAAGGGGAAAGAGAGGGTTAATAGGGCCAAGGGTAGCAATGAACCTCATAGTTGGCTGGCATGAGGCAGTTTGCCTTTAGAGGCAGAACCCTCAGGGAGACTTGCACGTGGGTCACTTTCCCATGTGATGTTGGGTCAGAGAACCTCTGATGGAGGAGGGGAAAGGTCCCATCCCCATTGGAGTGTCCCATGATCCCAGTGGACATAGAGGCCTCCCCCAGCCCCAGCTTGTTGCCAGGTGCTGTAGATCCGCAGCACCATTCAGGAACTGTGGAGCAGGGCAGGAGGGATAGCAATGCTCCACCAAGACTGTGTCATTGCTCCAGGAGGAGACTTCACAGTTGGCAGAAACCTGCACAACTGGCCGCATCTTGTCTAAGGCTCAGGAAAGCCTGCACTTTGTGGGGGAAGGCGGAGTGTTGTATTTGCTCCAAGCTCCCATGTAGCAGCGATTTCCTCTGTTTCCTGCCCTGGCCCAGGTTTGGTATAAAAGTTCCAGGTTTCACTGGAAATGTCTAGGGCCCAGGGAGATCTCTGTTCTTCAGTTGCCAGAACTGGCCCAAAACTGACCTTCAGAAGAAAGACAGGTGGCTAGGGCCTCAGCACCTATGGCTGAGAGGGGCTGGGGAAGGGGGAAAGCCATCCTCCAAACTACCACCCTGTGAGACCACAAGTTTCTCAATACCCCTGCCTCCCCTATCATGACCTACAGGACCCCGGCCAAAGGGGAGCAGCAGGAGTGAATTAGCCTGGACCAATCAGAGGTTGTTTGTGGCCCGATCCTGCCTCAGGCCTGTGTGCTTTCCTGGTGAGAACAAGGAGTAAGAGGGAGCCAAGGGCTGAGCAGTCATAGGAAGCTGGCTCATTGCTGACCCAACACGGGACGCTGGGCAGAAACACCTCTAGTCTTCCAAGGTGGTTGAGTCTTTCTGAATGGGTTGCCTTTGCATTGGAATCTGGCCCAGGGATGATGCCACTGTTTTTGGTGACCTGTATTTGAGAAGGAACAAAGGAACACGGTCAGTGTGTGGCAGCTGTACTGGCTTATTGCAATGATAGCAGTGCCCTTCTAGGGTCTTGGAGTAATAGGCAAGGCAGCTGTCCTTCACTGAGGTCCACTGTGGGCTGGCAGAATGCCGGATGCTTAGCTTCAGTCATGCCATCCTCACGGCAATTCTGCAAGGTGAGAAACAACACCCTCATCTTATATACAAGGAAACTAAAGTTCAGAAAGTTGAAGTGGCTGGCCCAAAGTATGTTTTGTTTCATTTTGTTGTTGTTTTTTTTTAGATGGATTCACTCTTGTTGCCCAGGCTGGAGTGCAATGGCATGATCTCAGCTCACCACAACCTCTGCCACCCGGGTTCATGTGATTCTCCTGCCTCAGTCTCCTGAGTACCTGGGATTACAGGCATGAGCCACCACACCCGGCCCAAAGTATGTTTTTAAGTGGTAGATTTGGGACTGTCGCCCATGCCTTTTCACTATACCAAACCACTGCCTACGGGGCCCTATACAAACTCATTCCATTTGGTAGTGGCCGAATAAAATGAATGGGCTTCAGAGTAAAACAGGCTTGAATCCTAGGTCTAACTCCAAGTAACTAAGTGACCTTGGGCAAGTCAATTAACCTATCTGATAATTAGGGTTTCTTTGGTTGTAAAAGGTGGGGTTGGGAGGGGGTATCCTCATTTCAGACCTCTTGTTGAGAATTTAATGAGACTGACTCAGGTGTTCAACAAATCATAGCTTTATCCTTACAGAAGAATTAGAGACTTTTAAAAATTTTGAGACAGGCTCTCACTCAGTCACCCAGGCTGGAGTACAGTGGTGCCATCGTAGCTCACTGTTGCCTCAAACTTCTGGGCTCAAGTTCTTCTCCCACTTCACCCCTTCAAGTAGTCGGGACTACAGGCGTGTGCTGCCACACCTGGTTAACTTTTACTTTTTGTTGACAGGGTGTCACTACATTGCCCATGCTGGGAGAATTAGAAGCTTATTGATTTGCCCATGGTCACATAGCTGGAAAGTTTAGCAAGAGAACAGTGAACAACACTAGCACTTTCAGGTCTGGGTAGCCCCAGGGCAGGGCTCTGGTTGGCTCCAGGTTGTCTATTGTAACTGCCATCAATCAAACTGCAAGGGAGGTATGCAAGCTGAAACACTGCGTGCTAGCTCCAGGCCGAGTTGCTGGGGCTTGTCTCAAGGCTATCCTTAAAGAGTCCCCCAAAGTAAAAAAAATATCCACAGGTGAAGAGGATGATCTACAGTGTGAGAAAGGAGACTCCAGGCAGAGTAGAGAGAACTAAGGACATTTTCTTACAGCAACACCCTGTGTTTCCATCACTTTTAAAAACATTTAGCTCAATGAGCAAAGCAAAACAAATGACCAAAGACAAAGCAATTATTTCAGCAGACCTGCCTGCCTGAAACTCAGTTTCCTTGTGTGTAAAATGGGGATTCTGCTACCGATCTTAGGAGGTTATGCTGGGGCCAGCTGCAGTGGATTACACCTGTAATCCCAGCACTTTGGGAGGCCGAGGCGGGCGGATCACTTGAGGTCAGGAGTTTGAGACCAGCCTGGCCAACATGGTGAAACCCCTTCCCTACAAAAAAAACAAAAACAAAAAACCAAGGTTATGTTGTGGCACACTGCTCATAACACATATTTCCCTTCAGAGAGGAAGGGACAGAACCATGTAGACCCTCCAGGCCAGGTCCTATACTCTTCATATCAATGGTGCCATAACCTACTTCTGAGCCAGACACCTTGGAAGGAGCATGCTGTGAGCCAGACAGGCTTCAATTTGAATCATGGCCCTGCTTCACATCGCCACTTAGAATGCTGGTTGTTTCTATCTATAAAATAGGAATAATTATCTCTTCCTCTCAGGGTTGGAAGGATTATCTGAGAAAATCTGCTTGACATATGGCCTGCAATAGAAGAGGGGCACAATGACTGTTAGTCATTTTAAAGATTACCATGAACAGGTAACTCCCTGTTTACCTGGTTTCTTCAAAACCCTTATCACAATCTGCAATTACTGGTTGTTTACTTGCTTAGCCTCCCATCAGGTTGTAAGGTCAAGAGAACAGGGTCTGGGTCTGTCTAGGCCACCATTCAGAAGATGCTCAACAAATACGTGATTAATGAATGAGAGGGCCTGATCATATCTGATAATGACCTATAGAGAGAACTCTTGCCAGCAAAGGGTAGGCTCTCGAGGCTAGTGGAAAAATACTTCCTCAGTCAGAGTGCTACAGACCAGGAAAGCCAGGTGTTCTTGGGGTTCTACCAAAGAAATCATGTATGCTTCTCTGTTAAAACCTTGAGCCCAGCAGGTCCAAAGTCTGGGCAGAAGCTGGCGGAGAAATACGTATAGAGGAGACACTTGTTCCTGTTAGATGATTTATCTTCTGTTCACTGAGAAAAGGCTGCCAGGATTCCGTTTCAGCCGAGAACTACCTGGCTTTGTTCTGACGCAGAAGTCCTGAGCTCCTGCTATAGATCCTAGAATTTCAAAAAATGGTTACTTACTGGTTCTGGTGTTTGAAGCCACTGATGTGAGCTTGGTACTGTTTTATGGAGTTCAGCACTATCTTACACGTTTTGCAGGGGTAGCCCTTTCCAGCTGAAACACATCAAAATCAAGATCTTAGTTCCAGTAAGAAGGAACCTGAAGACGGCTGCTTTCCAGACTGCACAAATGCCCTTCTGAGGACTGACAGGTGAGGCAAGGTGAGGTTGCTGGCCCTGATGAGAATCCAGAGGTCACAGGGCTCAGGAGGCACAGACTGTGTGCCTATGTGCTTCCTGGGGTTGGGAACATCCTAATTCCTGTGTTCCCAGTCCCAGCATAGAGCCTGGCCCAGACTAGCTGTCTGCTGAGTGATAAAAGAATGACAGAACAAAGAGGTGACATTTGGTGTAACTGTCTTTTCTACCTTGACTGTGCTAAGTGGCCTCATTAAGGATGCCCTTCACTGAGCGATCTCTGGGAAGGTGCCATTCTCCTAGGGCTTGCAATAACAGTAATTAATAAGAACGCTGGTTATGAAAATCAATCTGTCTTTCTACCTTGGAATTCACAGAACCCTCTCTCACTCTACTCCAATGACAAAGTGGCTTTTCCCACATAATCTAGTAGTCAGTGAAGAGCCAGGAGAGGGAACTAAACTCCTGCTTCTGCTTTCATGTGACCTTGGCTAGATCAGCTAGATCCCTTCCTTTCTTATCCTAAGTTTTTATTTTTATTTTATTATTATTTTTTAAAGATGAGGTTTCACCATGATGGCCAGGCTGGTTTTGAACTCCTGACCTCAGGTGATCCACCCACCTCGGCCTCCCAAAGTGCTAGGATTACAGGTGTGAGCCACCACGCCTGGCCTCTTATCCTAAGTTTTTTTTTTTTTGAGACG